GGAGGAGTATTTTAATAAATTTTATTTTTAATTTAAAATAAAAAAATAAGAAATTATTTAAATACTCTTAATCTTAAAACTTAGAAATCTTAATATACGAGAGTATTTTTGTCAACTAAAATTTAATACAATTTAAGAGGTTACATAAATTAGCAAATCATATATATATAATAAAACTTTAAACACATTATATTTATATCAACGTATCTAACTAATCATGTAAATTTACATAATATTACTATATTGTAATATATATTGTAATATTGAGTTGTATCCTTAATACCTAATCAATCTATTAAGCATCTCAAAATGTTAAATTTTTCTAGCAACTTTAAAAAAATTTAACCACCACTAGAATAAAATTTGAGCTATAAAACACAATTTAGAACTTCTTTGGGAAGCAAGTTACTGATATTCAATTTGAAAAACACCTATTTTAAAAAAATTTAAAAGAAATTACAATGAATCCAATTATACAACATTTCTTATAAATCATTTAAATCCTCGTCTTAGCAAAAAGTAAATTCCAAATAACTTATTAAAACCATTCCAATTAACTTATTAAAATCATATTAAATATTATTATAAACTTTAACATTTTAATTATGTTAAACTTTCAAAACCTAATTGATCAGTGCATATTTATATCTATATTTATGTTTTAAAATTTAAATTTTTGATGAGATTCCTATACTTAAATGGTTGATTCAAAGTAAATTTGTAACAATTAGATTTATTGGGTTTGAGAAATCAATATGCTTAAAATGTAATTTTTAAGTGCATAAATTATGTTTAATATTTTAATGTTTATTTGTGCAGTTAAAGATATAATTTTATTCATTTAAAGGGCAATTAGAGGAAATTTAAAGGATTTTTCTATAATTTTGAAAGATTAAGAAGAACATAAATGAAATTTCAGAGACAATTCAATTAATATTTAAAGATAACTAATTTAATTTGAAAATATAAACAGGAAATATCTATCAAATATTCTTAAAAATTGATTAAGTCTGTTAAATATTTGAAATATATATGATATAAGATAAAATATCTTATCAACCGAATATTCAGAGTCAAGACCCAATCAAACCTATATAAAGAGACCTGGAGGAGGAAGAAATCATAACTCATTCATTCGCTCAAATTCCTCCACTGGAAGCAATCATCCACCACTCCTCTCACTTTTATTTTACCATGTATTCTACTCCATTCATGGAAGGCTAAGCTTCTAGGGCTATTCCACTATAATTTCACTATGGATCTTGAGGTTAAGTTGAATTAATGTATTTGTTTCTTTTGATTATTGATTTGAGTTATGTTTCTTCTATTCCTTTCATCTCTCAATCAAGTTATAAATAATGATTTTTGCATCATAAGGTGTTTGAATCTACATGCATATTGATCATATGAGTTCAATGATTTCTATGTTTGATTGAGAATGTAGTTTGATTGAATTTAGGAACTTTCATTTGATTAAACATGTTTTTGCTACTAATTAATAATGTACTTTGATGGGTGGTAAGAATTTAATTGAGAATTTACTTTGATTAATTAACTTTTCATTTGATTAAGAGATTTAAGAATATACATGATTAAACACAATAGGATGAATTGAAAATGTACTTTGGTTGAATTAAATATGAATAATCTAGAAAGGTCTTGCATTTGATTGAGAATCTACTTTGGTTAATTGTATGATCGCCCTCAAGTTAATTAAGAATGTACTTTAATTAATTTGATACCCCAAACAATAATCAATTGAACAATGATTTGTGGAAAACTGATGATGAATCTATCTTGAAAAAATAGTGGAATTAGCCTATTTCATTCTAATTGTTTCTAAGTTTCTCATTTGTTTTTTAATTAAACTCACGACATTCTTCAACATTAAATTCATTAGGATAAATTTTCATTCTTATTTTTAAAGCGTTCCACAACATTTACTAACCTTTTGAGGGTCTTCATAAGAGTCAAGAATTGAAAAACAATTTCGTATTCGTTGGGAAACAACTCAGGGTAACTTTAACCCTATATACTTTCTTGAATACTAACTTGGCAATACCGAAGTTGCCTTATAAAGTAATATTAATTTGATAGCTTCAACGACAACATATCAAATTTGGCACCGTTGTCGGAGAATACAGTTAGTATTTTGAATATTTTGATTCTTATTTTTATTTATTTTCTCCTAACACATATACATTTAATTTAGTTTGAGTTCTTTTGTAGTCTTTAGTTATTCTTATTGTTAGTAAAATCTTTGTTCTTGTTTTAATTAATAATTTTTCTTGAGAAGTATTTGAGGCTAGTTTGAAAATACCTTAGTTAGGAAGGACTTGATATTTAAGTTGTTCATTGTTGAAGGGAGTAAGACTTTGTTAGGTCCACTCTTAGGAAAGAGAGGAAGGGAGTAAGACTTTGTTAGGTCCACTCCTAGAAAAGAGAGATGCGTCACAATGGACCACTTAATTACCAAGTCTTTCCTAGCCAGAGTATTTTCAAACTAGCCTCAAATACTTCTAAAAAGAATTCTTAATTAAAACAAGAACAAAGATTTTGCTAACAATAAGAATAACTAAAGACTACAAAAGAACTCAAACTAAATTAAATGTATATGTGTTAGGAGAAAATAAATAAAAATAAGAATAAAATATTCAAAATACAAATTGTATTCCTTGGCAATGACACTAAATTTGATATGCTGTCATTGAAGCTATCAAATTAATATTACTTTACAAGGCAAATTTAGTATTATCAAGTTAGTAGTCAAGAAAGTAGATAGAGTTAAAGTAACCCTAAGTTGTTTGCCAACGAATACGGAATTGCTTTTCAATACTTGATTCTTATGAAGACCCTCAAAAGGTTAGTAAATGTTGTGGAATGCCTTAAAAATAAGAATGAAAATCTATCCTAATGAATTTAATGTTGAAGAATGTCGTGAGTTTAATTGAAGAACAAATGAGAAACTTAGAAACAATTATAATGAAATAGGCTAATTCCACTGCTTTTTCAATATATGTTCATCATTGGTTTTGCACAGATTGTTTAATTTATTATTGTCCAGGTTTCAAATTAATTAAAGTACATTCTTAATTAACTTGAGAGCGATCATACAATTGACCAAAGTAGATTCTCAATTCGCAAGACCTTTCTAGATTATTCACAATGAATTCAACTAAAGTACATTCTTAATCAAATTCTACTGTGTTTAATCATGTATATTCTTTAAATCTCCTAACAAAATTATAAGTTAATTAATCAAAGTAAATTCTCAATTAATTATAGTTGAAATTCTTACCACCAAAGAAAGTACATTCTCAATTAATAGTAAAAACACGTTTAATCACATGAAAGTTCTTAAATTCAATTAAAGTACATTCTCAATCATACCTAGAAACCCTTGAACTCATATGATAAATATGCATGTAGATTCAAACACCTTATGATGCAAAAATCATTACTTGTAACTTGATTGAGAGATGAAAGACATAAAAGAAGCATAACTCAAATTAATAATCAAAAGAAATAAATACATGAATTTAACTTAACCTCAGAATCCATAATGAAATTACATTGGAATAGTCCTAGCAGCTTAACCCCCATGAATGGAGTAAAATACATGGTAAAATAAAAGTAAGAGGAGTGGTGGATGATTGCTTCCATTGGAGGAGTCTGAGTGAATAAATGAATTATGATTTCTGTTGATAAGATCTTTTATCTTATATCTTTATATCTTTCAAATATTCAATAGATTTAATCAGTTTTTAAGAATATTTAATAGATATTTCTTATTGATATTTTCAAATTAAATTAATTATCTTTAAATATGAACTGAATTGTCTCTAAAATTTTATTTGTCCTTTTTAATTTTTCAAAATTGTAGAAAAGCACCTTAAATTTCCTCTAGTTGCACTTTAAATGAATAAATTCTAAGTTCAGTTGCAGAAATAAACATTAGAATGTCCAAAATAATTTATACAACTAAACCCGATAAATCCAATTGTCACAAGTTTACTTTAAATCAACCATCTAAGCACAAAAATTTCATTAAAATTTTCAATTTTAAAGCATAAATATGGACATAAATATACACTCATCACCATCAATCATTTATTATTATATAAAAATTTATTAAAATAAAAAAAAAATAAAAAAATACACAACATAAAAACTACACCAAAGTTATAATAAAAGTAATTATAAATATATTTCTTTCATACATATAACAATCTAAAATACCATTTTTTTCAACCATTTAAAATATACTGATATAAACATCAACCACCCTGACTACAAGTTTAAGCTTTCTCTTGAAACTTCCAAAAACCAACGAAAAATTAAATAGATTTAGAAAATCAAACCCCATATCAACATGACTCTTTCTTAACCAATTGCCTAAAAGGGAAAGAAAAAGAAAGAAAGTCATACACACTCCTTAATAGAAATTGAATCAGTTACTAAAATTTCAATTATGATTCACTAACTATACTTCTTATTGAATATTTGAGGAACATGAACTAATAAAACTTTAATAATCTGTTTTTTCTCCAAATCTTATAGAATTTGGAAAATTTGAATTCACTAAAAAAAAAGTAAAATCCTTATTAAAATAAAAATAAAGCAAATCTAAATTTCTATTTATTTAAATTTATATTTAAATAAAACTCAATACTTACAGGTTATCATATATTACAACAATATTGGATAAGATCTTTAAAGAAACTTAAAAAACATAACAATTAACACTTATACAATAATATATGATATGATAATTAAGAAACTTAAAAAAAGGATAACATTTAACTCTTTATTTGTACAACAAGTAAGAGAGAAAAAACATTAATGTATCAAGCTTTTAGAGTAAATTTTTAAATTATTCATTGCTAACCTTTTTTATTGATAATTTTATAAATGAAAATAAAGTAATATTTTGGTGGAGCAGCAAGGAGAGAGAGAAATATTAATATATTTTTTATATTTATTTTGGCGCCTGATCTTATTTTTGAAGCTTCTTGGGGAAGCTTTGTCACTGCAAGTAGTGCTGGGCTAGTTCGCCTGCTCGCTCTTCCCCCTTATCTCTATGCATTCATTTTCAATAATTTCTTTTCAGCACTTCTCTTCTCCGTCGCCGTCGCTTTTGCTGTCGCTCTCCCTATTGTTATTTTCGTCGCTGTCACCGTCGCCGCCTCCTTGGCTGTCGCTTTGCCAATATTGGTTCTCCGATGAGAAAATCCACCAGACTTTCCGCCATCGGCCTCGTACAGGCTCCAGAGCCGGTAAGAACGGACAAATTCCACTTTCAATTTGAATTTGAATTTGAATTTATGTTCAATTCCGCGCTCACTTTCAGAAGAAGCCTTTCAGCACTCGATTTTCGCTGAGGTCGTTCGCGAAGCGCGTGCAGCTGCTCACACCGGAGCAGAGATCCGCTATTTCGCGAACCGGCTTCGGGAACCTTCTATCCGTTCCAAACCACTGCCTGAACAAGGTGTTTCTCACAGAGCTAATGGAGGCGTGGAGCAGCGGGAGCCGCGCGTTCGTGCTACGCTCCGGCGGCGAAATCCGAATGACGCTGCTGGACGCAGCGCTGATCCTGGGCCTTCCGGTGACCGGTAACCCCGTGAACTTGACAGAACAGGAACCCTTCTCCGATTTGGAAGAGTCGTACGGAGCAACGAAAGTGAAGAGGAAGGTGGCCATGAGTTTTCTCGAGAATAGGCTCGATTCAATTGGGGATGCTGTGAGTGATGATTTTGTGCGGAGCTTTTTGCTCTACACAATTGGAACGTTTCTTGCTTCGAACGACGGGAAGGTGGATTCGCAGTTCTTGCGGTTTCTCGGGGATTTGGGGGAGGTTTCAGGGTTTGCTTGGGGTGCTGCTGTTATTGATGATTTGTGTCAGTGGCTGGATAAGAGAAAGGAGCAGAATGTCAAGTATGTGGGAGGTTGTCTTATCTTTCTTCAAGTAAGTTTGTTTCACAATGTCATAATTTGATGTGAAGAATATTAGCTACAAGGTATTTAGTTCGTGTTGGTACTTAACATTAAAATGTGATATATTTGTGGACAAGCTAATTGGTTTTTCGAGATTTGAAGTACTTCGTGTTTGAAAGTAAGAAATTTTGCTTGAGAAGCTATAACCATTAGCTTTTAAGTAAACGTGAAATAAATTAAAAATTACATGTTAAATGTGAAAAGAAACACGCAAGTAATAAACATACTATAATTGCGGTCGCAAAGTCAATGTTTTTGGGAGTTTGCAATTTTATGTAGTTTTATACAATAAAAAGAATTGCTACTACAACCACGATTTAAAATCTTGTTAACAATAAAATGCTTTAAATAATGATTTGTAAATGTTTTTCTTTTGATCATATCTATGAGGTGTGGCTAATTTTCAGTTTTTAATTTATTGAGTAATTGATATTTTGATCGTCTATATTTGCAAAATTTCATTCGAGAGATGGAATTGTAGTCCTCCATGTATTTAGTTAGTATCAATTTAGTCCCAAAAAGAACTGAATTATAGTTGAAGGTTAGTAAAATGGAGATATGGTGATTTCATATTTCAGTGTTTTCTTCTCTTCTTTTCATATTTAGATAGTACATAGAAGCTATATGTATTTTAAAATTTATGTATCATGGGCCATTGACGCAATCTTTTTTCTAGCTTTTAAGACCATGAGTATGCATTAGTTTTTGGTTGGAAAAGATGTCCAGATCAGTACTTGTAAAATCTCATTTATGTATGCTTATTTGATGGAATTCAAGTTTAATTTTTTTGGTCTATGGCTAGCAGACATGGTCCTATGAACATTTTGACGTAGCAGCCAGGCCACAACTGCAAGAGCATGATATCACCTTTCCTCGCATGTGTCGATGGGATAATATTAAATCTAACCAAAGACAACAGGGTACTTCATGGTTTAAAGAGCTGGATGATGATCAGGTAACTTAGAAACTTGCTTACAAATCTGTTGAGTGTTGAGTTTCATTACCGACTCCTTATATAACAGAAGGTTGAGAAAACTTACGTCTGTCTTGACGCTCTGTCATTTTTGAGTTATATCAAGTCCTTATTTGTTTATTTGTTGAGTGTTTGGGTTATAGTTCCTTTGAAAGTAACCTACATTTTTGTTTTCAATTCATTAACGTTGTTGCTTATTAAAGTGAAAATGGATGTTTGGTCCTTCGTAACAGCAATTCAAACACACAGTTAATGGTTGAAATATTGGAGCATCTCTCTTCATCTGTCATTTATGATTTAGTATGAATATGCATGATTTTGGTGTTTGAATTGAAGACAGTGACGTTGGTTCTATTTGTATCATCGATGCCCTGATTAAAAAAGTGGAGGAAAGAAAACGGGTTATAAACTTTTAGTTCCTTTTGTCTAATGTGCAGGTAATATGGAAGCTTCAACCTACTTCTGGAGAGTTGCAAATAGAGATAATTAAAGAAGCACTGGAGTTGATAGGTGACAACAAAGAGCTTCGAAGTGCAGAAAGCCGTTCGACATGCACTCCATCTAGCGTGAGTTATGATATTTATTTTTATTTCTGGTACATGTGAGTTTGGCTCAGGGTTATTGCAATTGAACTTTCAAATGCAGAAAATGCTCACCATAAAAAACTTATTTATTTGCACTAAATAATGAAACAAATGTATTTTCAACATCTTTGGGCCATTTGATTTTGTTTTAACTGCAGGAGCCTGCAGTTTTTGTTTGAACTGCTGGTGATCCTCCTGCTCCTAAAAGTTTAGGGTTAGCAGTTTGCTCCATTGTAAGGTTAGTGCAAGCCACCTGCCACAGCAAGCTGACTTACCATTCACGTTTGCCACAGCAAGCTGACGTACCATTCACGGTTTGGGTTGACGTAGGACGATCTTATTTTTCCAGCCAAACTTTAATTTACATGGTTTTAGTTTGAATTTTAAATATTAATAAAAACGTTCACATGTTTAGATTGAATTTAAAATATTTATCTATCTTCTAGGGTGTTATATTTTATTTTCTATTTCAGTGTTCATATTTCGTACTCTCTACTGATTGATAATTGGGCATTGGCAGGTTTCTGATGTAGATTCAGGGTTTCGGCATAGTATCAACGGTGAGGTATGTAGAGAAGACGAGGATAATATGGAGAATCAGGTAGTGGAGGACACTCCCACAAGGTCGAGCACTAGTCATGAAAAATGTAGAAAGCAGATCAATCTCGGGAACTTGGTAGTGTTGGACACTCCTCCAAATTTAATCATCTGCGACAAAGTACGTGGAGAGCAAGAAATGGATCCTGAAAATCTGGTAGTGGTAGTTGAAGGTTCCCTCACAACTATCAATATTCCTGATGAAGTAGGCGGACATAAAGAGTTCAACGGTGAAGAACTCATGGTGGTGGAGGATACTCCCCCGGATTTAACAATTTGTGACAAAGTACGTAGAGAGCAAGAAATGAATCTTGAAAACCTGGTATTGGTTGTTGAGGATACCCCCCCAACTATGAGTTTTTCTGACGAACTCGGTGGTGATCAGGATTTCAAGTGTGAGAAACTCATTGTGGAGGATTCTCCTCCAAAGTTGAGCTTTTATGATGTGAGATTTTATTCTACTTTAATCATTTGGGTCTGGTGATAGATTATTAGTCCTTAGTTTTTTTCTTTTCCACATATCATTAACTTTTTTGCTTAGCAGGATGATATTAGACAGAAGAATGTTACGTTACAAGAGGAAAACGCTGAATTCAAGATGAAACTAGGCCAATTAATGGAGGAAAATGAACTTCTCCGTACGCAGATTTTATCAAATATTCAATTTGAAGAGCAGAACGATGAGTTAAAGAAGGAGCTGGACTTATTGAGAGAAGAAAACCGAATTTTAAGATTGTCACTAAGTAGTTTTCTGGACCGAATGGATGGACATATTTTGGATTTCGAATCTAATACAACTAATTGAGTGAACATGCAACCCTTGAATTTCACCCCATAACTTAACTAGCTGCTTATAGAGCCAGAGCTGTAACAACCAAACAACCTCTGAACTTTCAGACGTTGCTGCAGCCGCAACATTAGTTCTTCCGCGAACTATAGATTTTTTGGGTAAACAAGTGTGTACACATATTATCCATTCTAAGTTAGGTGTGAACAGTGTTAGGAGGTTTCATTTCAGGTAAAAGAACGTTATATATATTGTTAAGCCATGGCATTCATGTCAGGTAAACAGGACTATTTATTTTTCTTCTTTGTTGTATATAGTTGATTGTGCATGTACTCTAAACAGATGTCGGAGTTCAGATGGTATAATTATGCTTTTTTTTGAGCATTATGAGGCAAGTCACTGCTAGCTTCGCCTGGTACGTTCATTATGTTTTATCAGCAGGTCCATCTACTACTGCTACTAGCCTTTTCTTGTTACTCAGAGCACATTGCTAGGCATGGCTTGAACAGGAAGAAATCAGCAATGGCACCCAGCGGTGGAAGGTGTCCTTGTTTGATACTATGTAATTCAATGGCCTGCGGTATATAGGTCTGTGTTTGGGGCGGATATATGCGGTGTTTTTCATGACTGGGCAGCGCATTTAGTTTTGTTGTGGCGATGAAGTATGCTGAATTGACGACACTGAGGGTTAGTGTGCTGAATTTTTAATAGTGATACTTGAATGGCATTGTTGGATCTATGATTAAAGCATTTGAAGAATCCAATCATTTTCCTTGAAGATTTGCAATAATCCATGAAGACTTAGATATGTGTTTGGTTAATTTGATTTGATTAGGAAACCATTGTATGTTTTCTCTTATTTAGGTTCATCTTACATTGCAATATTTGGAAAGCTTCTCTGAATGTATGATCGCTTTTTCTGGTTATAGGTGGCAGTTTTTTTAATTTATTAAATATGTTTTTAATACGTTAACATATTTTTGTCTAGTTGTAAGAAATATTCGAAATGATTATATTATCATTTTAATAGATTAAAATTATGAGTTATTCTGATCTAATAATTTTAATGTAATATGTTAAAAAGAGCTTTTAATGAATTAAAATCACTCAAATTGTATTGAATTATGTATTTTAACAAGTTAAAATAAGTTGTTTCAATTTATTTTACTACTAAGTCAAATTAGTATATTAAAATCTAACTTTAATTCAGTAAAACTCTAGTAGTTTTTGGCAGTCTTATTTGAAGATTCTCTTTTAGTTAATTAAATTAAAGGTCTTTCAATACATTAAAAATGTACGATTGGATTCTACACAACTCTCATTTCAAACCAAAAGACTCAACCATTCTTTCTGAAATCAATTTATCTTTTAAAAGTGAGTTGAAAATCTTTTTGAATTTTTTTGAACAATTGTGATCAACATCTTAATATGAAGAGAAATCGTAGTTACTTGAGTTTATTTATTTTTAGGGGATATTGCTTTTGTTTCTATATTCATTTTTCAAATATGTGTATACTTTTTGGACAAGGTCTTTAGGTTAGTTTTGTAACAGGGTGTTATAAGGTGTGAAATCAAAGTTGGTAGAGTTCAAGATTTGGATTTTTTCTGTAGTTTACTTTCAATACTGCGGTTGGTTGTCTGTTTGTAAAACTTTTATATAATCTTCCGAGTTTGGTTGGTGCTAAACAACTATATATAACTTGATATAGATTGAACAAGTATAAAATTTGCTGTATTGAGATATCTTTCTATATCTCTCGGTTTCTTGTAATTTGTATATCTTTAATTGAGTGCATTGTTTTGTGTTAATAATATTCTGCAATTGAAAAATTTAACAAGATTTTTCTTTTAAAAATTTGCAAACGTTATTCTTAGTTCAATTCATTCCTCTTAAGCGTAACTCCTTATAAATAAGGCATGACCTACAAGTTTTTCGTTGTAAGGCTATGGTATTTGTGATTAGGGATGTATTCGTTGTTTTTGTTGAGTATCAGGTGAAGTTTCTAGAGGCTGTATTTTGCAGGAATTTGTGATGGGTTTCAAGTGTTTGTAGGTGTCACTATTGGCGTGGGTGGTGATTTGATTTGATGTAATAAAAGGCAAACATAAAATAAGATGAGATTAAGGATTTAAGCGAGAATAAGTGAGTTATTTTAGTTATACGGGTGAAGGTGGTGTATATGAGGGAGGCAAATTTGTCATTTTAATTACTTTTAGATATATTAAAACTAGAGACAAAAATGGTCTCAATTTTCTTAGAATTGCTGATATTGTTTCAGATAAGTGTTGGCATGACCTTCCAATGATTTTAGATGAGTTTAATTTTTCATTTATTTGTATTAAATGGTGTTTGCATGTGAGTAAGGTTAAAAATATAGAGCAAGTTTAAATAAGGCAAATTTAACTTTACATATATAAATAATAAATGAATTTGTTTAAATATATTCTGATTTTGATGAGGAATTTTCGTAATGAGTAGGTATAGGATTAAATATGGATAATATATATTTTTGAAGTTGGATATAAAGCAAATAATCATTCTGTTTCATTACCACCACCGTTGGAAGGGCTTAAAACAATTGTTAAAACATGTTTTTAATGACAATTCTAAGACCGTGAACATTGCAGCCACAGTTGGAATTGAGAGGAATCGGTGATGATTCGTATTGTCGTCATAAGTTTACAAATCAACTACTATTAATGGAAACAACCATAGTTAAATGCATCACAAACTGCAATAGTAACAAAACCATCTTAGAAAAGGTCTAAAATAAAGTCGAACACATATGACGACAATTAAGGTTTGAATTTTTTTAATGAGCTTTGCATTTGTGCATAAGCCACAATCATGCACAAATCTTTCAAAAATAGATCTTGCAACTCTAAATAGTTCAATAAACATATAACAAAATTTTAATGTTTTAAACAAAGTTTTATATAAAAGTAAATTTTAATGTTTTAAACAAAGTTTTATATAAAAGTTTTATGAGTTGATATGTTTTAACTTGTTAACTACCTAAAGTGTTATATATGTTAACAAAATGTTTTGCTCATGTTATTTATACATAAGATAATATGTCTGAGTTCAATGATTATGCGTCATAAAAAATCTACAAGAAATGAATTGAAGTTAAAATAAGTTGGTGCGAAAGTTACAAATATATGACAAAGTCAAGGAAAAAATATTAGAAAAACAAATATCTTCAAAGCTCATGATGATTCAAGAAGCTAAACACTCAAAGAATATGAAGATTATAACTTATAGCTTACTTAGAGAATAATTGAGTTGTTTTGAGTCCTTGTAATTTCATTTTAAGTCTTGTAAGTTTGTTAGGCAAACTATAGATCACTGAGTGAGCATTTATTTAGGGTTTTACAGAACTCAATAATTCACTAGGCACCAAATGTTGTTGGGCAAGTGATCACTACGCAGCGACTTCGTTTTAATTTTCTGGTTTTTTGTTTTTGAATTGAGTTAGCTTTCGGCTTGATGTATTTGGGTTTATCATAAGAGTCTTAGGTGGTTAAGTTTATTTATACATTTTTCAAAGACAAATGTAAACACCTTTGGTTGGTCATTTATGAAATTGAATTTCATTTAAGAGAGAATTCTCTTTGTTCTTGAATTATAACATTGATTCTTATTAAAGATAAATATCTTTGTGTCAAATTTTCCTTAACTTATCAATCTAATAGATTGTGACCTCTTACCATCTCTCTCATATTCCACGTTCTTTATATTTATAAATTGTTAATCTATAATTTATCTTTTTTAATAATTTATCTACTTTACAATAAGAATTAAAAATTAGCAACGCTCATAATCTTTTCTAGATAGGATTATGTCATTTTTGTATTCGAAATAAGGTTTTAGTTTAAATTTCCAATTATCATATTCTTCTGAAATATCATTTGGACATATATAGTTTCTGTCATTTGAAGAATACCTAACTATTATTTGTATATATATGTTTTTGGTATTTCTATTCTTTAAATTAAGTATTTATGCATTTGATTCATGGAAATTTATTGTTTTTTGTATTTTATGTTAAGGACAATCCCAACTAATTGTGTACAAGTGCAATTATGTTGTCTTGGGGTCTTTGAAGGGCATTATATTGTCAAATTAGGGTTTTTGATGGTACACTCTCATCCAACGAGCCATTAATTTTTCCCAATGAGAGAAACATATTCAATCCCTCACCCAAAGAGCTTTCGATCGCCCAACAAGTTATCCTCTCTCCCAGTGAGACTATTTGCCTTGTGAGGATTTGGTTTTGCACCCATTTTTCAATGAATTATAAATTGAATTGCGAAATTAAAAAGAAAAAGAAAATCAGGGGTCCATATACAAAAGGAAAGAAGTAAAGGTCCAAAAGCGAAAAGAAAATTGTTCAACCCAATTGTTTTACTGCCGTAAATTGAGTATGGTTTATTTAATTTGTTGAGTCTGCCTTCTATTATTTTATTAGAGTCTTTGTGTTTCTTAAATTCATTCTTTTAACAATTCTATTTATCTTTATTGTTTTGGTGTCTTACTAAATTTCCTTAAAATTTTTGTCTTGAGTTTTGTATTGTTCAGTCTCTTGAGTCAAGTTTAGATTCGTAATGCTTTTCACATTGATTGATATTCTTCTACTTAAGTGACTAGGGTTCTTTGTCAATAGCCAAAGGGAATTAGAGTGGTAAAAGAAAAGAGAGTACATATGAGTAAAAGCCTACAAGTGTGAAACACATAGTGATCCTTGAGTGAAAAACTTGAAGAGTGGTGAGGTCTTGACTTAATATTTTATTAGTTGTTTTACTAACCTTTTGTAGGATATGGAATCTTCACAACAACGTGATCCTTTGTCACTTAAAACTGCAACAATAATGGTGGAAATTGAAAGGATCACTACATAAATGAACCAATTACAATAAAATATTCAACTATAGTTTGAAAGACTCCAAAAATCTAATAAAGATATACAATTGGAAGAAGTAGGAAAATAAAGAGAAAGAAGTGATGATTCAATCCATTCTTTCTATGAGGAAGAGGAGGAGCATGATGTTACACCTAAAAGAAGCAGGATAATTCAAGGGGGAAAAGGATAACTACAACCCTAGGAGAGAAGAGGAGTTTAATTCCAAACCAAGAAGAGGTAGACTAATTCATGATGAAAGGGAAAATCAAATACCTAGAAGAGATTAGATGATGAAGAAGGCTAGAAATCCCAAGTTTAATGGAGCAACTGATTCAAAAGCCTACCTTGCTAAGCCTGATTAAATTTTCCACTCGGATAGCTATAAAGATGATGACAAAGTCCTTATGACAACTTTGGAGTATGAGGGCTACACCATGGATTGGTGGAATCAAATCACCGTGGACACAATTAAGAGGTGAAGGTGACCAATAACTACATGGGAGAAATTAAAGGAAGCGATGAAGGAAATATTTGTGTCTCTTTATTAAAAAAGGAGATCTTTAACAAGCTTTAAAGGCTTACATAAAGAAACACAATTTTTGAAGTATGTCCAAGATATGAAGGTTACCTTGATAAAAGCAAAGGTGGAAGAAACATATTTGGCTACAATGTTTGGATTCTTAAATGGATTGAACAGGGAAATTCAAGATGTAGTAGAGATGCACCATTATGAGACTTTGGATGACATTATTCACCAAGCTACCAAAGTAGAACAAGAACTCAAGAGAAAAAGCTCTTACAAGAAATCATCCACCACATGAGGGATAAAGATAATTTTCAGGAGGGAGCTAGTTCTACTATCACCAAGCCTAAAGAGAAGGAATATTCAAGTGATAAAGTAAATTCTCAAACTACGACTGCTAGTTCTTCACATTCTAGTTCAATTAAATGTTTTAAATGTTAGGAAAAAACCATATAACATCTCAAGGTCCCAACAAAAGAATTATTGTATTGTTGGAGAA